GGAGCCGCACGGGCCGCGCCCGGCGCTCAGGTCCCTTTCCTTGCGGGGCTGATCCTTCCAAGGAGCAGGTTTGCAGTCAGTTGAGAAGGAAAGACGTGGTACCCTTGAAATAACCCAGCATGCTGGGGGCGGGCGCAGAGGCCAGAGCCGGCTGAGGGAGGAGGTGGCTGTGGCCGCTGACGAGGGACCTAGTGAGTTAGAGAATTCCTCACCTCTGTTTCATGTCGCATGCTAGCAGCCATGAAGCAGCCGGGAATAGTAGCACGTGTGTCGCTGGACTGTTAACCCTTGCCTCCCCATCTCCAAATGCTGCCTTGCACGCCCCTGCCCCGCAAAAACGCCCTTTGGAGCCCTGCGTGGAGCAGGTCATCCTGCTGCTGGCCCCCTGACCTGCAGTGCTGTCCCACACCCCTCCAGCCACAGGACTGGGCAGGGGCTAAAGCCTGGTCTCTGGAGCTGGTGGGGTTAAGGTCTCCCCAACAGCACCACCACATCTCAAATGCTCTGTGTCCCTGTTCACTACAGACAGTAGCGATGCCCACTGCTCAGAGCTGGTGCAGTAAGGAATAGTGTGTGTGTGAGCTAGTTAGAAATGTGCCTGGCACAGAGGTGGCCGCCTATCAATACCACTGAGAACTACCGATGTCCTGGATCCAAGTTCATTAGGAACAAGACTCTGTAGTCAAGGGACCCAGGAGAGGGTGCAGGAACCAACACAGCAGGTCAACTCCTAACCAACAAACTTAAAGATGAAAATAGAAAACACCAGAGTATGTTGCCTGCAGAAAGAGTCAACACTGTTTTATGAAAACACACCGACTGCGAAACATGTCCCCCAGTGGGAGGGTTTCCTCTCTGGGAGACCTAGACACACCAGTCAGCAGAACTCAACATGGTGGGCCCAGAAACACAAAGCTGTGAGTGGCGTGGTGGGCCTGGAAGCTCAAATCCTACAAGTGGGTCCTGGTGTAAATGTTCATCCTATATGTCTATTACTTGGCTGGAAGCCACAGGAGTGAGTTCAATTCTACACCTGAAATGTAAGTAGGGGCCATAGTCTTGGAGGTCTCACCAGGCTCTATCAGACCAGTAAACCTGGTCTTTTTTTTTTTTTTTTTTAATGATTTTGAATTTTGTTCCACATTGTTCCTCTACTCTACCCAGGATCTCCTACAATGATCCCTTTCCAAGTGGTTGACAGTGGTAGCCAGGCACCACCTAGTTCTTCTGGTCATCCTCTTTTATCTTACAAAAGATAAGAGAGAGAGGTGAACAGAGAAAGAGGGACTTCCTACCACCAACAAGAAGGGTGGAGAGTGGGGCGTGTCCTTTGGACCCAGGGTCCCTGCACTGGGAAACCCCTAGACCTAGGGGAAGACTGTCCCCCGGAGCTGACAGAGCGAGGCTTTCCCCACAGCCAGTGCCCTGCGTTGGGACTCCTTACCTCGTGCCCTGTGGAAGAATAAGTTCCTGTTGGTGAAGGCAGTCCACTCGTGGTAGTTCTGTCATAGCAGTACCAGACAACTGAGACAGGGTCTACTGCCTGCAGCCCTGCGGGGAAATAAACACTGTCAGATCAGCTGCAGACAACAGAACGACTCTGTTTTCAGTAGAAAGGAATTTAACACCAGAAATTGAGTGCTTATAGACTCATTGAAGGAAGGGAAGAATGGGCTCCAGGTGGGCTCTCCCACGCCCAGCGTAATGCCACACAGCTGCACCTGAAAAAAATCAGGACACCACTATCCCCACCTCTGGCCTCATCATCAGCCCATCCTGATGCAATCCAGGGATCAAGACACACACAGCTCTGGGCTCCAGAATCAGGCCACGCCAGCTAGGTGCACACGGTACAATGGACACCTCCCATAGCAGTGCCTCTCTCGCCTCTCAAGCTGATTTGGAATCCAAGTCTTGTTCACATGCATTTCGTCAGTGGGCATGATCACAAAACCAACCTGTGTGAACCTGGTCCACAAGCCACCTGCATTAGCATTTGATTGGGGGTGGATGGTTTGACCACTAACCAAAGATGCCCAGAGATTGGGGTGGGGCCGGTTGCATGTTAGCTTTGCTAACAGCAGAGCTATAAAAAGAAACATTTGACTTATACTTTCAGATTTTCTGAACCAACCCTTTTGCCGAGTACAATCAAAAATGCTGGTGAGATTTAAAACATTTCAAATGCATCAAAGAGATGATAAGTTAGTAAGAATTTCCCAGGCCAAAAGTGTAAATGACAGTGGGAACTTGGGTGGGTATGTTGAACAGCAGCTGTGCTTACCAGGTGAGCATCCACCTGTCCGGGCTTACTTGAGTGTGGTTTACTTGGCCTTTTAGGCAAGGGGTACCAAAGTCAAGGACCAGAGTCTACCCAAGCATAGAGTCTAATAGCAGAAGCCCTTCTTGTCATAAAACCCAAAAATGGTAAAAGGGTGAACCAAGGCACACCCCACCCCACAAGTCCAAGGACTGCAGGTAAAGCTCCCTCAATGCAAAGCAGAGACTCGAGGATGTATTTCTCTGAGAAGCTGGACATTTGAGCCAGCCACGACCAAATCCACACACCACGGGCGACAGGCTTAAAACTTCAAGTCTTTAATTTAACATAAAGACAGAAAACTGCCACCACGAGGTGCCTGCAGGAAATGGGAACTTTTTGGAGGAACACACCTTAATTTAGGCCTCAGAGAACTCCCACAGACAGTCTTTCAAGGACAATGAGCACGTCACAGTTACAAATAATCATGACAGAAAATAAGGCCCTTGGGGTGAACCAGACAAAAAGAAGAAGACAGGAGGAGGCAGGGGGAGGAGGAGACAAGAGAAGACAGGCCTTCACGGACTTCAGGTATCTGACTTTGCAGCTAAAGACACTAAAATCAGTATGTATAATATGGTTGTAGAAATAAAGGGCAAGATGAAAATTTTCCTCCGGGAGCATGAAATTACGTAAACTAGCTGAGCACATTTGAAAAGCATATCTGAAAACCGGACACAATTTCCAGCAATGAAAATATAATACTCAAAAGGGTTTTAAATTCAGTTTAATGGCAGATTAACCACAGGTGGAAGGAGTTATCTAGAAAGCAACCCAACGATACAGACATTTAAAAACCAAGAAGAGAGGTTAAGAGACATGGGAACAGAATGAAAAATATCTACTATACGTCGAATTAGAGCTGCCAAACGAGAAAACAGGTTGGAGGCAACATTTGAAGAGAGCAGCATAGGCTCGTATTACTGACTCACATAGTCTGAAGCCCAGCATATTTTAAGAAGGAAAAAATAAAGAGAGCATCCAACAGAAGGGCAGTATTTGCACAGGGAGCTAGCCCAGGGGGCAGGAATGCAGAGGAAAGAAAGACACAGGGAAGAGGTTGCTACAGGGAGGACCTGGGAAGAGAGCTGTTACATTGTGGGGAACTGCAGTCGATGTCATGAGACAAAAGGTGTGTGAACTTCTGTATGGAAAATGAATTTGCTCTGTAGACTTTCACCCAAATCACAATAAAAAAAAAATAATAATAAAAAGAGAGTATCCACATTGGACTCAAAGAAGATTTGAAAGCAGTTTTTTCTAAAGGGTCAGTGGTTAGAACAGCCAACAGAAGAGCAGCTGACTCTAGATACTAACAGCGAAAGCAGGAGAACACTGGGATGGTGTTGTCAGAGTGCTGAAAGAAAACCAGCCGTCCAACAAGGATCTTACACTCAATAAAAAAACATAACTGGAAAAAAAAGAAAAGAAATAAACAGAGCTTCCCAAAATAAAGGGAAAATCAAATATAGACATTTTCAAACAAAAAAAACTGAGAGCATTTGCCACCACACACCCTTACTAAAGGGAGTTCCAAACACCAAATAAAACTAGTTACCCCAGAAAGAAGTTGTGAGCACAAGAAGTTATAAAAACACTGAAAGTCGTTTATGTCTGGGTGGAGAGAAGCAAACAGATGAGACAGTAGCAATAACACCTAAATAAAAGAGATACAATTAAAATACCTGTTAGCATCTCAATCTGGAGGCAGGTAGAGTTAACCTTGTTCAAGGTGGTTGATTGCTTGGGGGAGGGTAAAGTTTAGCTTACACTTTGATCAGTTGATTATGGGTTTTGCATTTTTAGGGTGGCCACCACAAGAACAGAAAGAGTATATAATTTCCCAATTAGCAGAAGGGAAAGAAACTAAATGTTAGAAAATAAATAATCAGCCCTCATTAATCCCTCTGACAAGCTGTGCGGAGCAGAGGCATCTGCCAAACGGCATCCAGACTGACATGCAGAGAAGGCACCCACGTGGAAGGGAACACATGCCCAGGGCACTCACTGCTACACCAAGGGCTGGGATGCTTGCTTCACGCACGTTTATTTAAAATTAATCGCATTACGTTGTCGGTTTTCTGCATTTTTCAATTGTATAACCAACTAAAATTCTGTAACGTGTTAAAAAAAAAAAAAATTCTCAAAGTCTAAAAAAAAAAAAAAAAATCCAAAATAAAGCAACAAAGAAAGAAACCAACAAAAGGAGCCACAAGGAAAAAATACAAAAGAAGATGGCAGATTTCTGGTTGGAGAACATCATCACTGCAGCGGGCTCTTCCTTCTTTTTATACTTCCCCAAATGCTCTCATTGAAACAGACAGAACTAGACTAGCCAAAGCAAGCCCCTTGTGGACAGAGGGTCCTGGTTCTGGGGAAGGCGGGCTGCACACACTCTGCCATTTCTCCTCCCAATGCAGCTGTGAAGGACAGAAAGCCTGGCACCGGGACTCAAGGACTCTCATAGGCAGCAGAGGCAGACAGGGTGGGGGAGACTGGATCTCACTGCTTTGGTGGTGAGTTTACCACTTTTCCCTCTCTTATTCTTATTCCCCAGCTGGGATTAGAGGGACTCAGTCCCAAACCCAGGAGTGGGCCTTGGGGCAGACAGGGCTCCAGGAGAAGCCATCCACGGATGTGGGGGGGACTCCCAGGGAAGCCTCCCAGGTCTCCTTGAGGAGTAGGAAAGGGACCCGCTCACACCCAGAGAGGGTGGGCCACTCCCCCCTTTCTTTCTTTCTTTAGTCCCTTGTTTCCCAGCCCCTTCCCAATGCAGCAACAGCAGCCATAGGGACTTCAGGGCCTCAAAAGCCAAGGCCTTCCTCTGGTTGCAGGGCCTGTGCTCGAGGGTGTGGGTGAACCCCTAACTCCTATGTTCATGTACTACGTGGTCCAAGACACAGGTGGAGTAATCAGAAGTGTGTGCCAAAGCTGGGTAAAGGAAGCTTGGCTTTCAGGCAGAAGCACCAGGAAGGGGAGCCCAGGAAACCAGAAAGTACCAGGGAGACTGCAGAAAGGAAGGAGCTAAGCCAAGTGATCCCAGAAAGCTGCTGTGGGCTTGGCTCACACGTGAGCTGTACACATGTACGAAGCATTTCATACATAGGCTTTCAGGCCTGAAGAATAAGCTGGACCCTCTGCCCAGGTCTTACTGGGGCCACACAAGAGACAGATTCCAACAGCTTCTAACAGCGCCTCCGAGGATGGATGGAACATTCAGCCTGAACCCAGCAGGGTCCATTATTGCCTTCTAAAATAGGAAAAAAATCAACATTCTCCATGGGACTTAACAAGATGCAGAGACTCATAACACAACTCAGAATATCCCAGATGCAACCCAAAATGACCTGCGTACCAAGACCCAGGAAAATCGCAACCAGGGTGAAAAGACAACCAGGGTTGCCGTTGCCAAGTGACAGGCATGTGAAGGCTTGGATGACGCAATTATTTAAAAAATGCAACAATGGAAAGAGTGAACCTCTTGGAAAAAAAAAACAAACCAGAAAGATACAAAACCTCAGCATAGAAATAGAAATTATACAGAAGAATTAAGTGGAAATTTTAGGACTATACAACACAGTAACCAAATGAAAACCACACTGGGCTCCTGAGAAGGGTGGTGATGGCAGACAAGGCGACGGTGAAGATGCACCATGTTTCTTGGTTAAACACGTGTCTACGGTGAGATTTGGCAATTTGAAGTTTAGGGGTTCACTCGAGAGAAACAGGAGCATGTTCTCCAAAAGCCCGGTCCGAGGACATTCATGTCAGCTTGACTCGTTTTGTTCCAGCTGTCTGTCCATGGGAGAACGAGAGCTGTGTGTGGCAGCTATCTGATGGCGTGCCACCCAAAAGCAAACAGCAGTAGAGTCCGGCTGAAAGCGGCAACACAGACGAACCTCCAGTACACTGGGATGGGTGAAGGAGTCCAGACAGTCTGGAGAAGTGGCATCGTGCGTGTGAAGTTCTAGAACAAGCTAGAGTACAAATCAGAACAAGGGTTCCTTCCTGGTGTGTGCCTGGGGGAGGGTCGGTGACACCCAGGCGGCGGGAGGGAGCTTCCTGAGATGGGAGTAAGATACATGGGTGCCAGTCAAAACAACACATGTTCCCCGTGCGTAAATGTGGGGAGAGCTACACGCGTGCTCTGTGCTGCTCCAAAACCCAACTTCAATGATTTAGGATTATCCCTGGATCTAGTGCAACACACCTTAATCACAACAGGCCAGAGTCGAATGAATCAGCCCTCCGGGCTTGTTCTGGAAGCTACACCTCAGAACCAGCCAGACACTACGCCCGCAGCTCCTCCACCTGCATGGCTGATGGTCCACAGATACTGGTTGAGGGTCTACTGGATGCCAGGTGCTGTTCCAGATTCTGGACAGAACCAGCCCTGCCTTCCTTAGGGTCACGTTCTAGATGGGGGAGACATTTTAAATGTCAGGTAACAAGAACTTTGGAGAAAAGTAAACACAGAGCAAAGGGATCCGAAGATGTCCGCAACTGCATAAGGGAGCAAGGCCTCTGCCTTCTGCAAGGAAGACTCCCTGGTCAGGTGATGTGAATAGAGGCCTGAGGAAGGAGGGGATGGAACTGCAGCTCTTCCAGGTTCCTGCTGTTCTACTTTGAATCCTCCCTCTTCGCCACAACCACAGCTCAGCTGTTCTGGGACTTAATGAAAAGTGGGCTTTCAAAAAGGTGAACCGAGGAAATGAATGAACACCTAAAGGAATGGCCAGCCAGTGAGTAGACAACTGGGGGTCTCCAGGTGTCCTCATCTAGAAAAAGGTCCCTGGAAGTCAGCCAGGGCCCCGTGAGCATGGGCAAAGCCATGGTGCCTCTCCTCCTCTCGGGGGCCAGTGCAGGACTCACTATCACTTCCCCCCGTGTAGTCACCCCTAATGTCTTACAAGTGGTGTGCCAAACAGACAGACTTCCCTTCCAGACAGAGTCCCGCATTTAAACCAGTTCAGTGTTGCAGGCACTCATTGCTCTCCTTCTTCCCAACATTTTCCGAAAATCTTCAGAAGCACAGGAGTGTGGAAGGATGGATGTGAGCACTCACATCGCCGCCACCCAGCTTCTGTCATCAGTACAGTGCAGTGTCTGGTCCCGCACCACTCTCTCCAGCCCTCTGCCTCTCTCCAATGCTTGGTTTTATGTGTTTCTTGGCTAGACCAATTGTTAGTCAAACAGTGACCTTGGCATTGCCATGAAGATACTTTGTAGATGTGGTTAAACTTTAAGTCCCCTACCCACTGACATCGAGTCAACTTCGACTCAGTGACCCTTTAGGACAGAGTAGAATTACCCCATAGGGTTTCCAAGGCTCTGGTGGTATAGTGCCTAAGGCATTTCACTGCTAACCAGAAGGCTGGCGGTTTCAACCCAGCAGCCACTCCGTGGAAAGACTGGGCAGTCTACTTCCATAAAGATTTACCACCTTGGAAACCCAAAGT